TCATTTCCTTTTCACTGCAATGTTATTAACCTTTATCTGTGTTTTCCAGGTCAAGGAAATGAAGTTTGGAGACACTGAGTGACTTACCCATGTAGCTGATCTGGTAGGTGGAAAGTTTATCTCACTCAAGGGACCACAGTCTACAAAATAAATTTGCATACCTCTGCAAAATATGCATTGCCATTGGAAATAGGTATGTAAAGTGTTACTAGCATCAAATTATGGCAAGAATAAAAGAAACGGTGGGGGGGGGTGGTCTTGCTTTTGAAGTTTCAGGGGGACCCCTGTGCTGAGAGATATCTGGGGTCATTGGTAACAAATGGTAGAGATCATGACATCAGGGAACGGCTGTTGGCCATTCCGGTTTGTGGACTCAGGAGGAAGGAAGAGCTGCAGACATCATTATAGTGAAGGAGGGGAGGAAAGGCTGAGGCACGGCAGTGCTTAGAACCAGAGAGCTGTCGCCACATGTCCCAGAACAGATGTCAGCATGTTCTGACTCCCCTGCTACTGTCCCTGGAACAGCATCACTTTGCAGCTGTCCGGATGTTGGTTCTACCACATCCTCTGTGTGACTGCGGCACCACGGCTGTGGAGAGCATGGAATGTGTGCCTTCCGAGAAACAGGCTGTTCTGGTTATTACAGAATGCCCGAGGAGAGATGACACAGCAAACCTCTGAGTGCCCAAGAACACTTGAGCCTTTTTGGGAAGTGCAGCCATCTACATGGCCATGGGCACAGTGATAATGATTGATGGATCCATCTCCATCTGGATGTGTTGTATTACACCAATGGTGTGTGCAAGACAAAAAAGGTAGCTCTCTGGAGAAGTTTCTTCCTGTGGGAGTTTTTTAATAGAGTAAAAGTTCGTGAAACTTAGAGTAATATAGTCTATAAAGAGGAATTGCTCTTAGGGGTCTGTAGAATGAATATTTATTTATTTTGGCTTATTTAGAAAAGATTCTTATCCATTAGTGTTAAGTGATCATCTAATTGCTGCCCTCCACATTGTGTTCTGGAGTGCCTGAGTTATTGAAATCAGTGTGAGATCTGTTTTAAATAAAAATCTGTTTCAAAACCACATTTATAATAAATCCTGAATTCCATTTAGAGAGCATTTTACTGAAGATTTAAAAAAATCACTTCATTTTTAGCAAAATGATTTTGCATGAAAAATTTTGAAAACAACGGCAGTATGTTTTTGTTCTGTTCTCCATTATCTCATTTTTTTGGTATTAATTCTTGGCATGTGTTAAATGGCAAAATGTTTATAAGATTTGCAGTAGGTTATCTTATTAAAAATAAAACACAGGTGGTCATAAAGACTGGAAATATTAACAATATTTTTATAATAAATTAAACCTTCTTGATTATTTCTTCTGAGGTGAAGGTGCAAGTTTAGGCCATGAGAATTGGACACACCTATCATCTGAGGCAGCATGTGACAGATGTGTGTGCAGTGAATGGTGGGCTGCTGCTTTCGTGCACATAGTTCATTGCAACGTAGCACAGCTTAGTCAACATTTCTTAGCAATAAACTATTTATTATGAATGTTTGTTTTCAGATCTTATGGCCACTCGAAACAACTTTAATTCAAAAGACTGATGAATAATCAGTTTAACCCTGTTAAAAAAAGTCAATTTGAAAAAAATACACTGCTTTTTGTAAAGTAGTTCCTTCATGAAATCTGTTTGGTCCCATTCTATACTGATGATTAAATTCACTTGTATAAATTGCACTATAAAAACATATTATCCGATAGAGTACTAGAGGATATCTGTGATCATATTCTAACATTTTGTGACTCAGTGACATTATAAGGGAGTAAAGTAGAAAAATAACAACAATAGATATGTGTAACTATGGAGAATGGAAGGAACTTCCAGTTGGAACAAACAGGCCGAAAGAGCCCTCGTGTTGGCTTTGCTCCTTTTAGATAAAAGACGGTGGTGCTTTCATCCTGATGGCTAATCTGAGAGACTCAACCAGTGACATAGACTTGACAGATATTAAAATAGAGTTTAACAAGACGTGGACAACAGGCTGCTTATGAGCAGCAAGAAACATGGACTTTCTCTGAAGTTCACCTTCTAGAAAGTGTCAGGAATGTAACAAGTGAGGCCTTTCATTATTCTAATACAAACATTGATTAAATACACAATTTCTTCAATCCAATGTTAAGATGTCCCTTCCTACTAGTTTTACTGGGCTATGTGTACATCTCCAGCATAGGTTCAGTGGTAAGATTCCAAACTGTGTGAAGCAGCACATCCCTTCTTAGCCCTATAATGAACATAAAAGGGAGCCTGCCCTCCTAAGTCTCAGAAAATATGAATTTCTTAGAATTATTTAAAATAGGAATCCTTCTCAATAGTCCATCAGTTTAGCAATGTGGGCCGAAGATTTGAAATTTGTCATATCCTGGAAACATGTAATATCATCATTTGAAGTCCTCACCACATTTTGAGGAACAAAACAATATTACTATTAACAAATAAGTACAATTTTATGAGAGGATAAAATAGGAATATTGCCAGAAATCTTACCCATTTGTAAAAAAAAAAAAAATCTTTGCATGATTGTTAGCTTGTTTCATTTAAAAATAAAACCCCATAAGCTTGATACTGCAAAATAATGTGCTAATTGCACAGTCACCATCTGCCCCTGGGGAGGCCACTGTGAGTCCAGATGCTTCTTTGTTGGTTAATTCATTTTCTAGGGTCCATTTGCTGCAAGTCTTTATCACGTTTCATATGCTTTATGTCAAGCATAAAGAAATCAGCCATCTCAAATTCAGGTCTTGTCCCCAGTGAAATAAACAAAGGTGACATGGATACTATTGGACTAGATGATAACACTGGACAAATAAGATACTTTTCTCTCATTGGAGGTTGGCAGCATCTTATTCGTGTTTAAAATTTGTGATTCTCTCAATTGTGGGTCAGAGCTAAAGCTAATGAAAACCTGTGGGGGTGGGAATTTTGCAGGTCTACAGATGGAATCTGTAATTCTGTTTGGAGGCAAGAGAGAAGAACCCAATCCCTGAGCAATTCCCCAAGCATAAAATCCCATTTTGGGGGCAATGTCGATGATGTCTGAGTGTCTCAGTTCTCCATTTGGGGCACAGCTGATGCTGTCCCTCCTGTGTTGGCACTTTGCTAAGTGGATTCAGATCCACTGCTAAGAAGAATGCATGTGGGGTCTTTGTGGGATGGTTCTGCGGAGATTTCTGTGGGCAGTGGGTGGTCTCTGTGTATTGTGTCTTGGTAAGTGCTCTGTGAGAGGTAGCTTGATGTCAGGTGTCTGTGGGAGTTCTTTGCAGGCTCTAGGTGAGGTGAGAGTGTGACTTCTCTGTAAGGTGTCTGGGAAATCAGTGTGAAGAGGTTCACACTGCATAAGAGGTTTCTGGAGCAAGATGAGGTCTCCATGTGGCAGTGAGCTGTCTCTGTGTTGTCTCTCTGGGAGGTCTCTGAGAGGGGTCTCTGAGGTCTGGGAGGTGCTGTGGGAGCCCAGTGAGAGGACTGTGAGGTGGTGAGGGTTTCTGTGAGATCTGCAGTGGGGCTATGTTGGGCATGGGAGGCCTGTGTGTGGTCCCCCCGTGGGTTCTGCATGGGAGGGCAGTATGGGAAGTATGTGAACCACTGTGCCAGGCTTCTGTAGGAGGGCCTGTGGGCAACACAAGGTGGTGTGGAGGCCTTGGGAGAGGTCTCCGTGCCAGGTCTTCTGAGTTCACTCTTGGTGTGGTTCTCTGTCAGAAATGTCTGTAGGGGTTCTCCCTGGGATCTCTGTGTGGGGTTTCTCTGTGCAGGTTTCTGGCAGGGGCCTAGGCGGCTGTCTCCTACAGTCTCTGCCGTGTCCCAAGCACTCCTGGGATCCTGATCCCCTCACTGCTGCCTCCCCTGCCCCTCTGGGAGGCTGCCCCTTCCTTGGCAGAGACAGGACTGGCTCCAGGAGCAATGTGGGTGGGGGCAGCAGGTATGGGATTCTGTGCCTACCTCTGTCCCCAACCCATTGGGAACATTTCCTTCTGGCCCCTGCTTGCCAACATCCCTCAGCCCCGTCCCTGCTGGCCTCAGGGCAAGTGAACCCCCAAGACCTCCTGTGGATCTGGCAGCCCCAGCCCTCCAAGTCCCCATGCCCTGGGAGCAACCCTGGGGCAAAGCATCCTGTAATGGTCACCAGGCTGTGATCCCTCTTGTCATCCACTCATCCTTTCTGGAATTCCACAGGGATGGCACCCAGGCTGGTCACATATGCCATAGGGAAAGTCACCTTCTTGCATCAGGGCTTTGTGTCCCTTGGTCCTGCCCTCCCCATTGGGGCAGTGGCCTGAACCCTTTGTCCAGCTGGGGCGCTGGCCATGGGGTGGTCAGTGCATGGGGCACTCCATGAGCTCTCCCGCCTGCTTGGCTCCCACCTCTCAGATTCTTCTCCCGTACCCCACTCTTGTCCTCCATGTGCCTCCCTCAGATGGCTCCCATGCTCCTGGTCATACCAGAGGGGCCAGCAGAGGCCCACCTCCAACCCAGGCTTCAGCAGGCTCGGCAGGGTGATCTGTTCCCCACCACAAGAGTCGGGGATGGCTAGATCTCTCCACTCTTGAAGCCACCCAGGCCCAGCACCCCCAGCCCTCCCCACTTTGAGGGAGTGACGGTGCTTGGCTCCCATGTTTCTGGAGTCCGGGGGAATTTCCACTCTAAGAGACCTCTGTAAATCCATCCCACATGGCTGCACAATGTTCACAGCAGAGGGAAAGCAGGAAAGAGGGGCCAAGCCAGGTCCCAGGGTGGAGTTTCCATAGGGTTTGCCAGTCCTGACAGTCCTGAAGACTCTGTAATGACTGAGCTGTAGTGAGGGATCCTGGGGTGGGGGTGGGTCTGCAAGGCCCTGTCAGCCTCCTCGTTGCCCATCTCTTCTAGAAGCTGCACTCAGGGAGAGTGAACACTGACCCCCTTCCCTGTGCCTCAGCACCCCACAGACAGAAGCCATCACCACCACTGATGAGGAAAACTACATGTATTAGGAAGAATTTTATGTCTTCATAAAAAGAGGCCATTAGCATATTTGGGATGTGCTCACACGAGGCAAAATAGGTTTTTTTTGCCTGAACTGGAGTTTTTCTGGGAGAAAAGTTTTCTCTGGTTGATGAGGCAAGATACCTCTAGGTAGACGACAGTGCCTGGGGCAGCAGACGGGGTGGCTGGAGGCTCTTGCCACCCTTGGCTGATGCTGGCAGGGCCTGGCTGGGGAGGCCCAGTTACTCTCCCTATCTCTGACCAACCTGCTCTTGACTGGATGGCTGTGGCTCATGGAGGTGGCTTGGTGACTGCAGGCTTTACCTCTCTTCACTCTCCTTTGCTCTAGGTGGGAGGAACCCCTGTGGTAGCTGCAGCTCCTACCCACTGAAGCATGGAGTTTCTCTTTGTACCAATTTCCCTTCAATGCAGGAAGTTCATGGTGAAGTCCCATATTCTCCTCTAGGATCTGTCCAATAGTGATCGTGAGCTCCTGGGCTTCAGCCATCCCACTGCCTGTGACTGGTCCCCAGCACTGGGTGGTGTCTGATGCAGGCTTGTATTTTTGTAGGGGATTTTCCTGCCCTGTGCCTTTCTTCCGGAAAATTCGCTGCAGAAACTGCCTCATCTTGTTCCTAAAGGAGCTTCCTGAAGGAGCCTGTCCTTCCTTTGGCAGAAGCTGGGAGAACTTGCTTCTTAGTGACTCTGCTGATTCCCTATCCTGGGAATGGTGGCTTATACCATTGGTTTGGAAGGTCCTTGGTCCTGCAGACTTTTGTTTGTGCACCCCTGGTTTGGGCCTCCGACAGCGCTCACTCTCATCAGTGGGGCCAAATGTCTTGCTCTGACTCTCACATGGGGCCCGGAGTTTCAGGATCTTGCTCCCTTCCCTTGATAAGAGGTTGCATGCCCTCCCAGTGTCACCACTGGATTTGCTGTGAGAGCTGGACAGAGAGGGCTGAGAAGCCCAGATATCTGTGGCAAAAGCATCAGGGTTGCAGTCCTCAAGGAAGATGCCAGTGGTGCAGTCTTGGAGGAAGACATCGGGGGCAGGGCCTTGAGACTGGTTCTCTGGCTCCACCTCCACTGCCAGCTCACACTCACTAACAATCCATGCATTAAGACATAGCTCTTTGGGGTCCTGGGTGACATAAATTGTTGAGGGTAGGGAGCTTTTACTGTTCCCCAGAGACTCTGAGCTCATGTTGACATTAAGGGTGTGGGAGTCTGCCCTCACACTGGCTCCCAAGGTGGCTTCCCAAGCAGGGAACTTTTCTTTCTCAGCCTCCATTGGCTCTGTGGTCTCCTTGGCCCCTGAAGATTGGGACCCTACAGTGAGCTCCAGCAGTGCTAGGCTACTGTAGGAGTCTCCTGAGGCCACACTCTCCTTCTCCTCCCTCAGCTCATTCCTGGCCATTGCTGGACTTGGACTTGGTTCTGGGCTGCCTTGCCCAGCCCCCAGGGCCATCTCACTGTGCCAGATTCTGTAAGTGATGGGCTGAGAAGACCACCTGCCCTCCTGAACAGCGGAAGGAGCCTCTGTGTGCCCAGAGTTGTCACCAGACTGAGTCCCTCTCAGGTCCATCTTGAGGTCCTCACCCACAGGTGAGGGGACAGGGGGAGGATCAGTCAGGCTGAGGACTGTCTTTTCTGTTGTCACCTTCTCTCCTGGACCTTCAAAAGGATCTTCTCCTGGGAAATTGGGAACTTCACCTGTGGAGTTGTCCCCAGATACACAGATGGCCCAGGATGGAAAAGTGGAGTGTGGAACAAGCATGGGATGAGCCTTTTTCAACATAAATAGATTTTTGGCCTTGATGACCTTGAGGGGTAGGCCCCACCTGCGCCTCACCTGTAACCTTTTAATGTGTGCTTCCAGCACACGTTGACTGCCTGGATCAAGAAGTTCCTGCAATGTGTCCTCACAGGATTCCCAACCCTCTGAGGATGCCAGATTTCCAGTTTCTATGTGCATGTTTGAGTTTTCAGGAGAGGCTAAGGCTTGGTCAATAGCAAGCCTGGAATGATGAACACTCACAGGGATCCTGTTTTCCATAATCTGCCCCAACTTCCTGCTCAAGTGGACTTTCAGGACATCTTCTAGATGTTCCTTGTCTGGGCTCCCTGGAAAGTCATTTCTTGTGTTACTTCTTGAGGGGCTCATAAAGTCCCTTTCTAACTCCTCCTCAGAGCTGGGCCCTGGAATTATCATTGGGGAGCTCTCTGAATCCCAGGAGAGATCTTTCTGGACACTCCCTAGACAGTGCTCCAGATGCAGGCTCGAGTCTTTCCATGGTGGCCACATTTCTGGGCCCTGGGACTCCATGTCCTGTATATCCTGGCTGCTTCCCCCTTCAAAGGCTAAGGACCATGAGGACCCTTGCTTCTCCTTTGCCTGACCTGCCCCTAGAAATTTGCCCTGAGGCTGTACCATTCCCAGAGACAGCTGGTTCCTGGATGGCAGTTTGCTCTGGTGCTTTGTGAAGCTTGTTTGCAGATGTTGTTCCAGTTGCTCCTGGAGCTCAGGTTTGATAACATCTCCTGGGTGGCTAGAGAGTGACTTGTGGGTTTGGGAGACCCAGCTGTTGGGAATGAGCTGCTTAAAGACTTCCTGAGATTTTTTGACTATCGTGGGTAAATCCCTCCTGCTTTCTTGTTGCTTCTTCAGAAGGTGACATTCTAGCTGTTGAATAGCAGTTGGGATAGGAAATTGGGCCTTCATATGGACTGTTGGGCGAGATGCTCCACAGAAAGTAATCTGAGGTGAATAGCATGGTGGGGTTGAGAGAGAAGGTGGGAGACGGGCCTGGGTGTGAATCCCAGCCAGAGGTGGGGTCTGGAGCTGGGGCAAGGTTTCAGTCAAAGGCTGGGGTGGGGCTATGTGCTGGTGCCAGGGCTGGGGCGGAAGGAGTTGTAGAGGTAGCTTAGCCTGAATTTGTACCGTGAATGAATTAGAGAGTACATTGAATAAAACAGAGGGAAACTCTAATGGGGGACCAGAGACCCAGGCCGCAGCCACCAGGGACTCACTGTGCAGAAAGGGGTGGCCCCAGAAGCACTGACTGCATTTCTGCTGCAAATGGTCCCCCAAAGGCTTGGGATTGGAGAGCTGCTGAGGATCAAGCAGCTGCTCTGGTTCATTTGTCACATTCCAGAAAGGGTAATCTGGGCTCATTTGTTTCTGAGATGACCCCTTCTTTTTCCCCTTCCACAGCTTCAGCTCTACTCTCTTGGTGATGAGCATCTCCAGTAAGTTCTGGACATCAGGGTTGATGAAAGAGGGACCACGAGCCTCCATCTGCTTGTGTGTGGAGTCTGCCCAGAACGAAGCCTCTGGTGGGCGGTTGGAAAGATGCTCTTGCTGGGATTTGCCCTTGGATGAGGTGGAGAGACACCAGGCTCTGCCAGCTCTGGCAGCTGCCTGCCACCAGGCGAGGGCTGAGACAGGGTCACTGGAGCAACCAAGGCCCGAGATCATTGAGACAGGAGGAGACAACCAACAGTTGTTGGGTGGAGAACAGCTCTGTGGGACAGTGCCCGGTGAGCGTGCCATTGAGTCACACTGAGGGGGAGCCAGGCTGGAGTCAGGAGGAGGCAGAGGGCAGGCCACAGGATCAGGGGACCGCGGTGTGGGAAGGGAAAGCACCCATGGCTGGGGTGAAGGGCATTCTAGGGGAAGCAAAGGCTTTGTCAGCTGGGAGGCACTCAAGGATGAGTGTGATCCAGCACAAACTGGGAAGGTTGTCAGGCCTGGCAACAAGATGGAGGACAGAGGCAGAGGGTGCTCAGCCAGGGGAGCTGGGGAAGCCACTGTGGAGGAGGTGGCAGGAGAAGCATCTTCCACACACTCCCTATGAGGCAGGTGGGCTCTGGTAGGTGCTGGCTTGCACACCTCCCCTGGGGGGTCTGGATATGACAGCTGATGAAAGTCCCCCTTGTCAGAGAACTTCCCCAGGTTGCTGCAGGAGACAGGAGGCACCAGCTGCAGCAGGGGTGGGTGGGCCAGGGGCCGCCACCTGTGGCCTGTGGCCCCTCCACTGCCCCCATACTGACTTCAGAGCTCTGTCCCTCCCAGGCCCCAGGGCTCTAGCCACATCCTCTTCCCTTCCCTGTCCCCCCTCCCAGGTCAGCCCCAGGCCCTGGGGTCACATCCCAGCCCCTGGTAGAAAGGAGGGCAGAGAGAGAAGCGGAGAGTCCCTCACCCCTGCAGAAGTAAAATCAGGTCCCGAGCCCCTTCCAATTCCCTCCGGCAGTCTCTACAAGCTGGAAATCAGGAGCTGGGTTAGCAGGGAAGGGAGGAGCCGGGGGAACTTGCTGGAGGCTGAGTGTCCCCCTAGGGCAGACTGTGAGGGGTTAGACCCTGGAGCCCACACATCAGTGTCCTAGGCCATTGACCCCAGGAGTGACAGCGAGAAGTACTTCGTCATGTACACAGTGCTCCCACATCCATCCCCCAGGGTCTTCAGCCCCCGTAGGGGAGAAGACAGGGGTCACCTCAAAGAGGAAGCAGCCTTAGCCAGGCTGAGCAGCCCCCCCTCCACATCCAGGCCCCTACTGGACGGCACCCATTCCCTGCCCACCTGGCTTCATGCCCGGCACGAGATCTGAGGAGAATCCCAGGTTCTGATTTCCTTCCCAGGACCCCCTCCGGCCTCTGTGGCTGTCTTCCTAGGAGACTCATCCCTCAGGAACAATGGAGCCAAGTCCCCCTGGGGGCTCCGGGTGGAGCGGCAGAGCCTCACCTTTCAGAGCACAGCTCTTCTTCCTGCTCCTGGGCCTCCCCCTCTTCCCCACTGGAGGCTGGGAGACAAGAAAGATTGAGGGGCTGGGACCAGTCCTCACCCACCCACCCGAAACAAGCTGTGGACATTCAGCGCTCATGGAGGACATGGCCTTCTACATCTAGCTAATGGAGCTCTGTCTTCTTTTCTTAACTTTTACTCATTTTTAAAGTGGATAAAAATATTTTCTGTTTTCCTTCTTTGAAAAACACAAGAGGGATGTTCTATGTGAGGTCCCTCATGGGTATCTTCCGTCTCCGTTCCTCTTCTCGAGAAACTGACCGACTCAGACCCGTGGGTGCCTCTGACCTGTCAGGCAGGATTCTGCTTCCCGAGGAGGACAGAGGTCTCTGCAGCCTCTGGTGGGAGGTTCTCAGGGACTCAGCACAGCCCTAGGATCTCCCAACACAGAGGAAAGGCTGGGCCTGAGGAAGGAGACAGATGCCCCAGGGCTCAGGGCCCTCCTCCTACAGAGATCTCAACTCATAAACCTGTCCTGGCCACTGGTCCCCAGTATTTGATTTTGTCCTAAAGCCTGCTGAGCACCCACACAGGCGTTTTGGGAGCTTCGGATAGAAATGCCGTGCCACTCTGATCCCACCCCGCCCTGCCTGGGCCTAGAGGGGGGAGATTCTCATCTCAGGAGGCGTTAGTTGATGTGGAAAAGTGGACCTAATGATAGAACGAAAAGAGAATCATTGTTGGGTCTGCGCTGAGGGTTCCTTACCTTCCTGATGTTTCTTTTCTGCCCAGGCAGTGGTGAGGATGGATCTCCCCCGAGGCAGGGGAGTAACAGGAGGAAGAGCCCCAGTCCACACAGAAGGCCCAGGGTGATGTCCACCACCCAGGAAGTGGAGCTGGGCCTCAACCATGTGGTACTAATGGATTTCAGAGGAAAGACATGATTCTCCATCTTCTGAATTGCATTGTGGCACTCAAGCAACTGAACCCTGGGCGTGTCTGTGGGTCTACTGACTAGGGCCCAGGCCCGCATCACAGAGCTGTGGCCTCCTCATCACAAAGGGTTCCTGAAGGTGGGGGAGGGGTGTTGAGAGGAGGAGGCTGAACTACAGCCATCCCCCACCACCACCCTGCCCTGTTCATCCGTGGACCCTCTGGGCCTCCTGCCCACCTCCATCCAATTCCACCTGCTTAACCTGTCAGAGATAGACCTCAGTCAGTTTTATGTTCTTTGCTGCTGGGACCATATACTACCTGGTTCCTTGGAGATCTATATTTTTGCTCCCTAAATTTGATGGGTTTTAAAAATCTGGACTTCTCCTTGCAATTTCTTTTACTTCTCAGGGAATACTGCTCTTGGGATAGCCTCTCTCTGTAATTCTGCCTTTCCCACATAATATGTTCTTGCCCTGCATGAACTCAAACATAGAACTTACATTTTTTATACTTACCTATCTTTGTGAATTTTGAATAAAATTTTTTATAATTTTCCCTTCAATTAATTTTTGCTGTCTTTAGCTAGAGCGGCTTGAAACTTAAATTACTACTTTATTATTGAAATTTTTCAAGACTAAATAAGTATAAAAAATTAAAATAAATCTTCAAAGGATATTTTTATACGTTTCTAATATTTTTACTTCTAAAATAATACAAATTAAACTGCACAAGAAAGTTTGGGACATGTGGTATATATACACACACACACACGCACACACATACTCAGCTCCTTTGACAAAACAATACAGTATTTTCAAATATAAGAACTATTTCTTTCTGTTCAAAAGCCTTCCTTTAGTATTTCTTTTAAGGTAGGACTTCCGGCAGCAAATTTTCTGTCTTTGTTTATCTGGTAATATCTTTATTTTTTTGCTTTTTCTTTACTTTTAAAAGAGATATGCAGAATATGACATCCTTAGTTTACAATTTTTTTCTTTCAGCTCTTTGAATATGCCATCCAACTGCCTTGCCATCATTGTTTATGATTAGAAGTAAACTTACTGTGTCACACTGTACATTAAGAGAAGTTTTTCTCTTGCTGCTTTTGTAACCACTTCTATAAAGCAAGAACATGTTTTCTCAATAATGTTTAGTTCCCCATATTTCACATAAGTTTTTAGTGTTCACATTATGGCTGGGGCTGGCAACTCTAAGTGGCCTTGACAGTGAGATTTATCTCACCCTTGGCAACTTAGCAGCTACAGTCTCAATGAGGCAGAAAATAGAGAATTCCTTAGCAAAATGTATTGATCCCAGGACGCTGTAGCTTTCTGCTGCACTGATGCATTCTCTTTTGAGTTTCTCTCCCAGGAACGGCAGCACCTCTGCAAAGCCTCGCACCGCCTGGTGTCTGGAGAAGACACGGGAAGCGATACTCCGCCACAGACGGTGCCCAAAGACCCACTGAGCCTGCGCACAAGGCTGAAAGAACAACCAATATTAACCCCTAGTTAATTATAACACAGAAATCTCTGCCCTGGGAGGACTTACCCGCCACTGTTTGATCACGGGACATCTGTGCTAGGGTGATTTCCCACCGCGCTTGCGTGCCCTGCACTCCGCCCCAGACACGCAGTGCGCCCACCCCGCGCGTTTTTCAGCTCACCTGCAGAGAAGCCCTGACCCTGTTGGCCAGGGAGCTGGGTCTGCGGCAGTTCATACCTCCCCCGCCCTGCTGACATGTCCACAGAAATAAATCCTTTCCGCCTGACAATCCTCGCCGTCTCAGTGATTGGCTTTCTGTGTGGCAGGCAACATTGAACCCCCCCCCCACCTTGTGGGTTTGTTAACACTTTCAGTATTCTCTTTTTGTCTTTCCATAGATTTACTATTATTACCAAAACTTTGGCGCTTGTCCTTGATACTGCATCAGAAGAACAAACGAGAACAAGTGGTTTGAGGAGAAGGAAAGAGAAGTTTTTTGCTTTGCCATCAAAGGAGGAATAAATGGTAGACCTGTTTCAAAATCCAAATTTCCTGAACATGAGCAGAAATACAGAGCTTTTAAAGGGAGCCCTCTCAGTTCTAGGTTATTGTGGTTAACTATTCTAATCATCCCATCTCTACCAAAGACAAAGCCTGTGACCTCAACCCACCTGGGAGGCCGTGCCAGGGCCTGGATGGCTGAGCTCTCTCCTGTAACAAAAAGAACAAACGACATTCCCCAGGCCCCTACTGACTGCCTGCCTGAGACAGAGATGCAGGCTTCAGTTTCCAAAAAGAGTAGGGGAAGTTTTAAAGAGATAGAAAATAACTTTTTGCCATTTTCTTTTTCAGGCCATTCTCTCTGTTACACTATGATGTGCCTAGGAGTTTTTGTTTTATTTTACTTGTTTTTATTTTACTAAAAGCTAACACTGGATCTACAGATTAATGTTTTACATCAAATTTGCTAAGTTTTCAGCCATCGTTTCTACAAATATATTTTTCTTCCCCCTTTTCTTTCTTTCTGAGACTCTTCTACATATGATGGTGTGCATAATGATGTCTAACAGGTCATTTTCATTAACTGTCTTTTCTCTTTGTTCTTTAGATGACATATGGCTATTAATTTAACTTCAAGTTTACTGATTGTTCCTTTTTTATTTCAAAATATTAAGTAAGGGAGTGCAAGTGTTTTTGTTATATGGATACCTTGTATAATGCTTAAGTCAGGGCTTTGGTGTACCAGTTACCAGAATAGTGTTCATTGTACCAAATAGGTAAGTTACATCCTCCCGAGTATATTCCCCATGTCTGTGTTCCTCTTTCTTGGTTATAAACTTGGTCCTTCATAAAATCATTTTGTGCTCAGGTATGTCCATCATTTAGCTGCCACTTGTTAATGAGAACATAGGTGTTTGGTTTTCTGCTCTTGTGATACCTTACTTAGGATAATAGTCTCTAGTTCCAAGTTGCTGCAATCAACATTGGTTCATTCTTTTTTCATGGCTGAGTAGTACTCTATGGGGGATATATATCTACATATCTATACACACACAAAAACACAGAGCATGTTTTCCTTATCCACTCATCAATTGATGGGCAATTAGGTTGATTCCCCATCATTGCACAATTGTGAATTGTGCCATGATAAATATTTGAGTACCGGTGTCATTTTTATAAAATAGCTTTATTTCCTTTGGATAGAAAGCAAACAGTGGGATTGCTAGATTAAATGGTAGGTCTACATTTATTTCTTTAAGGAATCTCCATACTGTTTTCTATTGAGATTGTACTAATTTGCAGTCCCACCAACAGTGTATTAGCATTCCTAAAAGCATCCACTACAGTAAATATTGTTTTTTGACTTTTTAAATCATGGCCATTTTGACCATGATTAAGGGGTAAGTTGGTATCCTTTTGTGGTTTTAATTTGCATTTCCCAGATAATTAGTGATGTTGAGCAACTTTTCATATATTTGTTGGCCATTTGTCTATCTTCTTTTGAAAAACTTCTGTTAATGTCTTATGCCCACTTTTTGATGGGATTGTTCATTTTTTTTCTTACTGATTTGAGTTCTTTGTATACTCTGTATATTAGTCCTTTATTCACATGTATAGTTTGTGAATAATTTCTCCTGTTCTGTAGATTGTCTATTCACTCTGTTGATTATTTCCTCTGCTGTATAGAAACTTTTTAAAAGTTCTTTCTTTTTTTAATTTATTTTTTTCAGCATATTATGGGGGTACAAATGTTAAGGTTACGTATATTGCCCTTGCCCCCTCTGCTCCCTCAAGTCAGAGGTTCAAGCATGTCCATCCCCCAGTTGGTGCACATCACACTTACTATGTGTGATATCCATCCCCTTGCCCTCACACCTGCCTGACAACCAATAGATGTTATTCCTATATGTCCACTTAAGTGTTGATCAGTTAATACCAATTTGCTGGTGAGTACATATGGTGCTTATTTTTCCATTCTTGGGATACTTCACTTAATAGAATGGGTTCCAGCTCTATCCAGGAAAATAAAAGAGGTGCTATATCACCATTCTTTCCTATAGCTGAATAGTACTCCATGGTATACATATACCACATTTTATTAATCCACTCATGTATTGATGGGCACTTGGGTTGTTACCACAACTTTGCAATTGTCAATTGTGCTGCTATAAACTTTCAAGTGCAGGTGTCTTTTTCATAGAGTGACTTTTGATCTTTTGGGTAGATGTCCAGTAATGGAATGCTAGATCAAATGGTAGATCCACTTGTATCACTTTAAGGTATCTCCGTATTGCTTTCCGCAGAGGTTGAACTAGTTTGCAGTCCCACCAGCAATGTAGGAGTGTTCCTATCTCTACAAGTCCATGCAAACATTTATTGTTTTGAGACTTGTTAATAAGGGCCATTCTCACTGTAGATAAGTGATATCTCATTGTGGTTTTGATTTGCATTTCCCTGATGATTAGAGATGTTGAGCATTTTTTCATGTTTGTTGGCCATTATTCTGTCTTCTTTTGGAAAGTTTCGGTTCATGTCCTTTGCCCACTTTTTGATAGAGTTGTTTGATTTTCCTTGCTGATTTTCCTGAGTTCTAATTAGATTCTACTTATCAAACCTTTATCGGATGTGTAGCATCTGAAAATTTTCTCCCATTCTATGGGTTGTCTGTTCGCTCTCTTGACAGTTTATTTGGCTGTTCAGAAGCTTCTTGATTTAATCAGGTCCCATTTATGTATTCTTATTGTTGCTGTGATTGCCTTGGGGGTTTTCTTCATAAATTTTTTCCCTAGGCCAATGTCTAGAAGAATATTTCCAATGTTTTCCTCTAGAATTCTAATAGTTTCACACCTAAGGTTGAAGTCTGTTACCTAGCATGAGTTGATTTTTGTGACAGGTAAAAGGTGTGGATCCTGTTTCAGTTTTCTATATGTGGCTATCCAGTTTTCCCAGCACCATTTATTGAATAAGGATTCTTTTCCCCAGTGTGTGTTTTCGTCTGCTTTGTCGAAGATTAGTTGGCTATATGAGGATGGTTTTATATTTGGGTTCTCGATTCTGTTCCACTGGTCAATGTCCTTGTTCTTGAGCCAATCATAAGCTTTTTTAATGACTATAGCCTTGTAGTATAGTTTG